AAAATATTGGAAACTCTTTTTGGATAGGCAGTCACTTCAAAGGGCTAGATGAAATATGTGTGTGTTTATTACATATATAATTTATATATAAATATATATGTATTACCTTGTTTTCAAATACATTTCAAATACGTATATTTGAAAATAAGGTAATACATTTTCGATATATTCAAATATGTATATTTGAAAACAAGGTAATACACATATATTTATATATACAATTATAAGTGTAATAAATTTATGTATATTTGAACACAAGATAATACATATATTTATATAATTATATATGTAATAAACACACATACCTATATATCATATATTTGTTATTAATAGATAATATATAAATATATCATATATAAATATATTTGTATATTTTTATTTTCTTGTTTTCAAATATCTATATTTATATACAAATATAATATGGAATTATAATGTATTATATAAATTATAACATGATATGATAATATATTATATATATAAATATGCTACATATACATATATAAACTTTGGAAAGGGAAAGGAATTTACTTTATATTGACACTGTCAGGAACGGAAGAATGGCTTTCACACAGTTTGGATTTTGTTTCCATAATTCTGTCAGGTGCTATATTAGTTTCCCATTGCTGCTGCGGCGAGTTACCATAGATGCAGTGGCTTAAGAAAACACAGGTGGGCCGGGCGCGGTGGCTTAAGCCTGTAATCCCAGCACTTTGGGGGGCCGAGGCGGGTGGATCGCGAGGTCAAGAGATCGAGACCATCCTGGTCAACATGGTGAAACCCCGTCTCTACTAAAAATACAAAACACTAGCTGGCCATGGTGGCGCATGCCTGTAATCCCAGCTACTCAGGAGGTTGAGGCAGGAGAATTGCCTGAACCCAGGAGGCGGAGGTTGCAGTGAGCGGATATCGCACCATTGCACTCCAGCCTGGGTAACAAGAGTGAAAACTCAGTCTCAAAAAAAAAAAAAAAAAAAAAAAACACACACACACACACAGGTGGATTGTCTTACAGTTTTGGAACTCAGAAGTCTAGAGTAGATCTTGAAGTGAAGCATGATGGTGTTGTCAGGGCTGGTTCCTTCTCGAGCTTCCGGGGGAGAATCCTGCCTGCTCCAGCTTCTAGAGACCATCTGCATTCCTGGGCCTGTGACCCCTTCCTCACCTCAAATCTAGCAATGGCGTCACTCCTGCCTCTGCTTCCACCACATCTCCTTCTCTGACTGACCCTCCTGCCTCCCTCTTTCACTCATAAGGGCCCCATGATGATATTGGGCTCATCTGGGTAATCCAGGGTCCTCTCCCTATCTCAAGATTAGTCCCACCTGCAACATTCCTTTGTGCCGTGTAAGGTAATCATGGTGTGGACATCTTGGGGAGCCATTATTTTGCCTACCACAGGTGGGCATGGTTATGTCCATTTTACAGATGAGCAAATAGATTCAGAGGTGCTGGGCAGTGTTCCCAAGACCGTTCAGCTGGTAAATGGGTGATCAGGATTTGAATGAACAGTAGCCTCATCCTAAAGCCAAAGCTCTTTCTCCCCAGAACATTTTTCCATTCCACACTCTCAGCTTCATGCTGAATTTAATCTCATGGCTTTCCAGGAATTGGGGTAAATGCTACCATTTTAAGGACTGTTTCCAATGGACTATTCTGCATCTGTCCTTGCATCTCCAGCTCTCTGAAAAGATGAAAGGGGGACAGACTCCCCAATGTACTTCTCTTCCCTCACCTAACTTCTCCTGGTCCTTCAGCTCTCAGGTTCCTGGTTCCCTTCTCCAGAAAGCTCTTCCAGAACCCCTTATTTGAGAGGGAAGCTTGTCTTAGTGTTGCATGTGGTAATTGTCTGTTTCTGGATTTGTTTTTCTATCTAGATCTTGGCAGCTTCCCCTGTGACAGCTGGCACTGTATGCGTGCACCTTAGGTGTCTGTGGAATGGAGGAATGGATGCCTGCATGAATGAATCCATCACCAAAGCTCCGAAGCATCACTTCCTGCTCAGAGAACCTCCCACACCGAGGTTCCTGCACCTCTAGAACAGCAAGACATCATTTATCCTTGGGTCATAGTCAACCTCCTGCACTGGACTGTGAACTCCTGCAGGCAGGCACCATGGCAACGGCCCTCTATAAGCCCCAGCACAGGGTCAATGGCTTGATCATGGGAGGAGCTGGCAAGAGCTCACTAGATGGCAGGGAACCAACTGGCCACGGTCCAGATGACTGAGATCCACCAGGTCCACACTTAAAGGCGGCAGCAAGAGCGCTCTCCAGAGGCTGTGACTCTGAGTCCTGAGTTTAGAAAGGACCCCTCCTTCTCTTTCAGAATTGTGCAGTCATTTACCCTCCTTTCTGGGGTTGGTATTTCCAAAGAATACCTTGCCCAATATTGTCAGCTTTTAAGGAAAATGATCTGCTAGCCAAAGCATGGGGATGAGAAGGAGTGGCTTCTGGAGTCTGCAATGAATAAGAACGGCTTCCTGTGAAGTCCTTCTTGGACCAAGAGAAGAAGTGTAGCCACTTCCTCGGTGTGCTCCTCTTTCAAACAAGGGCAATCATTGGACTTTAAGGCATAACGTGAGCATTCATGAGGTCACATGTAGAACACTTCGGGGTCTCGGCCGGGGGGCAATAGGGGCCCCATGATGTTCTCTCTCCCCACTCCCTTGGGTTCTGAGCCAGCTGACCGTGTGACCCAGAGTAAGTCACTCCTCTGGGTCTTGGCTTCCTCAACTGTCAAAAGATGACAAGAGTCCCTGTAAAATTCTGCCCTCTGCAAGGATGACCATCACAGCCTTATTTAAAATCACAAATTATGGAAATCTACCTAAATGGGACAAGAATAGTTGCCAATTACTGAGTGCACATCATTTGACAGCCACTGCTGGAATCACTTAATGTATATTCATTTGTACAATCCTCAGCCCATCCCTAGGAGGCAGGGATGATGTCCTTTAGAAGTGGGGAAACTGAGTCACGGAGATGCTGAATAACTTACTTGGGGTCACATGGCTGAAAAAAAAAGACACAGAGCTGGTATTGGAACCCAAGAAGCATGGCACTGCCATCAGGCTCTGAGCAGAGATGTTCAACAACCTTACTCTCAAGACAATGGTTAAGGAAATTATCATACAGAAAATTATTGGAGTAGGACAAATCTTTCAGCACTAGTGTTAATTCAGGGAAGGTGATAATGTACATAATTTTCTGCATATATAATATACTTCCACAAAAATTACTTAAAAATAATAAAATAGGGAATCATTCTGACATAAGATTATGTGAACAAAAGCAGATTAGAGCTAGTATTTAGAATAGGATTGCTGTGCTACTGTGTAAGAAATATACATCTATGCATAGAAAGACAGGGAAGAATTTGCCAAACTTCCTTGGTTACTGTGATTATAACCAAGAAAGTTTGGCAAATTTGTTCCTCTCTATTTTTCTGAATTTTACAAATTTGCCCTAATGAGCTGCTATTGATTTCTTAACAATACCAATAAAATACTTAATAAAAAACAAAAACAAAAATCTCCTGTACTTTCCCCATAGTTTTCATCTCAGACTGACTGTGTTTTTCCCTTGCTCAAAGTAAAAATAAATAAACGAAACTCGGTACAGTCTATAACTTGAGAATAACAAGAATGAGTCTTGTGAAACTTCCAGAACATGAAACTTTGAAATGTTTTCCTCTAATAAAAAGACTGTGAAGTGGAAAGGGAAAGAGACAAAACATCATTTCTCTACATTTTTAATGATACTTGTTTTTTTTAAAAGTATCTTGCTAGAATGACCCATTAAGTGCAAGGTGCAAAGTAAAGTGTTCTGTCAACAAGAAGTCAGACATACAATTGCAAGCCTCTTCCTGTTTGTATGGGCATCAATCTGTCAGTGCAAATCAGTGAGCAAGAGTGAAAATAAATGAACTACTCCATCAAGGTCACAGAATATAACTCTCTAATTTCAGCCCTTTCTTTTTCCATTTGGAAGGGAACCTGACTGTGCTGCATGCCTAAAATGTGAGGCACAGACCACATGCCTACAAGGAAGAAGAGACGCAACATCTCATAAAGAGTGCAACTGAAGCTCAGGGATGTTGAGCGCACTGCTCAATGCTACATAGCCAAGAAGTGCTTGAGCCAGGATCCAAATCCAGTTTGGCCTGATTCCAAGATCTGGAAATTTCTGCTAGGTTCTGAAGCCACCCAACTTTCCTCTTCACTAAATGTTTGTTTTGCATATTGGAGGTTGAAAAAGTAACAAGCTCTATGCCTTCTTTTGAACATGTTGGCTTATTATTAAAGTTTTCCTCTCCATTATGCTGGTTGAATGAAATGTCCTTTCTTTTCTGCCTTGTAAACTCCCATGTTTCGGGTAATGAGATGACGGATAACGGTTTTGAAACATTTTTAAAGTCAGGGCAAGAGATTGGAGACTCACAACAATTCTCTAATCTGAACTCCCAGGGACAATATGGCCCTCTTTCACAGGGCATTCATATGCCATCACTTGTGACTAGGTGAGAATTCAAAGGATGGAGTTATTTATTAAAAGGAAGATGACTGAGAAGCAAAATGTAGAAAGGAATATTCTCTAGATGGGAAAAATGTCAGTGAAGAACTGCATGATGAACTCCTAAAATTAGATGCCTTTGGCATGACAAAGGATGTGACCCTTTAAAGGGATGCCGGTTTGTTGCCTGGGGTTCCCACAGTGGTGTGTTGCCTGTCCCAGGAGGTGTCAGGAACCAGGTGAGAACAGTCACTCTTCAGTATTCACTGGAGGTTTTGGATCAATAGCCTGGACACAAATGATGTCTGGCTTCTCCCCATCCCAGCTCTTTCTTTAAAACCAAGAGTTTGCTGAATGGTAGAAAACCACACTGTCCTAATTGATGAATTCCGATGGGGAAACCCCCTGCCTTAAAGGACCTTATGAACATTCCCACTGTGCTATGTAACCCCCTGTGGCATTCTCAAAAGTAACCCTCAGTTGACTTACAGAGAAGATGGCAGCCAAAGTCTCGATGCCCCCTGTACTCAAGGTGACATATGGGATATTTGCCGGAGGGATCCCAGCGTTTCCAAAGATGCTGTTGGTATAGAACCAAATCTGTAATGCAGGAAAGAACGAGAAGAGAAAGTGGTCAGTGGAAGGACTTAATCTATTTTCTAAATCAAATTTGGGTAGAAGGTAGTCTCTGGATTCCACTGCCAAACTCAGAGTCCCAAGATGAAGTGGCGTGGATGCTCATTTTTCACCTTCATCTCACATTTTCCCTTTCTTCATTACTAAAATAACTCTTGTACTAGTAGGAGTGCCCAGCTAAAAGGCTATATTTCCTAGTTTTCCTTGCAGCTAAGTGTGGCAGAGAGATAGAAACAGTAATGGTAACGGGGCTTCCAGGAAGTTTCTTTTTTTAAAAAGAAACTTTTCATCAAGGAGGTGTGCTTCCATTTTTGTTTTTTATTGTTGTTTGTCCTTTCTCCTTTCTGTGTCAGGATGGTGGAGATGATGGCTGGAGCCTCAGCAGCCTTTTATGGATTACTAGGTGACTTCAGAACAGCACTGCCAGGAACCTTCAGTAACTTTGTGAGAACTAGAAAAGGCCCCCACTACACAAAATCCTTTACTGTCATCCACTGAAAAATTGCCATAGCAAATCCACAATGCATACAAGGAGAAAGATGTTCCCCAGAGTTGTGTAATGCACAACCTGTTTAACTATACATAAAGCCCCTGGCTTGGGATGAAGGCCGCTTGTTCGGTTGCTGGCCCAGGAAATTAGAGAGTTAGCCTGTGTCCTCACTGACTACAGTGGTTCTGTAATTTATTATCTAAACATGAGCACTTTTGAGTGTTGACAGCTGTGCTGGGACAACACACATACATTGAGTGTGTCCTGGGAAAACCAGCGTATGTGGTCTTGGAGTTGCTATACCAGCCCTCGCAACTTACTTCATGTGAGACAGAAAACCTTCCAGCTGGTTGAGGTCTCTGTTGGGGTTTCTACCACATGAGGTTAGACCTAAATCCTAACTGATGCTCATGGGCATCAGACAATCACTGATTAGGAGTTTGTCGGCCTGGCTCCATCTTGAGCTAGCTATGTGACCTCAGGCAATTCACTCTGCCCTGCAGAGATTCCTATTCCTCCCCAGTCAAACTAACATGGCCACGCTTATGTTGCCTGTCCCGTGGGGTGTTAGGAACTGGGTGAGAATTGTCGCTCTTCAGTATTCACTATGAGGGTTTTAGCCTGGACACAAATGATGTCTGGTTTCTCCCCATCACAGCTATTTCTTTAAAACCAAGAGTTTGCTGAATGATAAAAAACCACATTGTCCTCATTGATGAATTCTGCCTTAAAGGACCTTATGGACCTTTATGAACAGTTTGATCCTATTCAGTGGAAATATTAGAGCACACTGCTCATAATCTGTCAGGTCCAATGTTGGCTGGCCACACTCTTGCATTTTGCTCTTTGTTTCTGGATGAAGCTCTTGTTTCTATAGATTTCTCTTATTACTAGAAGTTTTTAGCAAAAATTATTCACGTGTTGCGGGGAAGATTTAGGACCTACTTATATCTACAGATGGTCAAATTTTTGTGAAGAAAGTAAATCTCCATAAAGTTATGGGCATCCTGAGAAATGCCACTGAAAACCACTACACCCATTTCGTCAAGTTTTCAGGCATGGATACATCTATTGGTTTTAATATTCTTGTAAAACAAGAACCTCCGGGCTCTGCACCTGTCCCTCACTTGAGTGAACGTTAGACTCCATCGTCGGCCTGATCCTTTGCTGTCACGTCCATGGTGTACAGAGGTAGTGCCTAACAAATCCACTAATTCCTATAGTTCTCAGGGCTGTCGCTGAAGCTGACGTTATCCTGAAAACCCTGTGGCCATTGAATATGTTTATACAATCGCCTCCCCTTTAGAAGGTACCTGTGATTCCCAGTGCACCTTTAGGGTTGGATTCCAGGAGTGTAAGAGCCGTTTTCAGTCATCAGCCAAATTCACTAATTTTCAATGGCCAAAGTTCTCTAGGGACCTTCTTCATGCCCTCAGGCTGCCAGGCTGTCACCCATGTGAAGGTGTTTGACATTTGTGTTATTCACAGCTGTGGCTCTGAACCCCGTGGCCTCACCAGCTCATGTTCCTGAGGCTCTCAGCCCTAGATCCCACTAAATGTGAGTTCTTTTGTGTTGAGGCCAGCACCTCCTTCCGGGCTCCTCACTCCCCACAACCCCGTCTTGCTTGGTTTCCATTCTCCCCATAGAGACACTGCTATAGATGTCCCTTAGCAGGTTAGTGAAGAGAGCCATTGTGCGTAAAACTCTAAGTTTAGTGAGGGACAGTTATAAAAACAGCAATCAAAGCCATGTTTGTTCTTATATTCATTCATGCAACAAAAGGCAAGAAATCAGCCCACAGATCCTCTCCCCCAGTCTAGGCCCTGCAGGGGTCCTGCCAGGCTGGCCCTGTCCCCCCCAGGGCACGCCTGGACGTCACACGCACTGCCAGTCTGTTTGTGCCACGAAGCCACTGCCATTCCCCTGTTCCAGTTGACATAGTGGGAAGGTGACTGCCTTCAGCTCTACCTCTGCTTACACTGACGCTGATTTGATTGGACAGTTTGAGGTCGCTGTAAAATAAGAAAGCACCCAGGACACTTAAGAGTGCATTCTGCCCGAGAGCCCCCTAGCTCCCATGGAGTGTGTCTGTGTTGACCTTGTTCACCACACAGCTCTGTTCTCTCAGGTTGCCCCCAGCCTGCCTGTGCCACGTGGCAGAAGCAGCAGTTCTGAAGGTCTGGAGTGGGGATTCCAACCCCAGCACTGCCTCTCGTGACCTGCGTGACCACAGGCAACTGATTTCACGTCTCAGAATCTCTGTTCTCCAATGAAGGGTAATAATAGTTTGTCTTTCAGGTGGCGCTCCTTCAACAAAATAATAGCTAAGCTATTGTAGTAATTTGCTACAGAAGCAATAGAAAACTAATATATACTAGGTAAAGATATAATTCATATATACTATTCATTTATGCATTTCCTGTGTGTGTGTATGTGTGAGACAGAGAGAGACAGATAGAGACAGAGAGAGTTGTAAACACAGAGGTGGTCACCACAAACAAATGATGATGTGTACAATCTATTTTGAGGTGCAGAAGACAGAGAAGACCTTGCCCATTCATTAAATTCTGTGTTCCAAGAACTGTGCCAATGCCTCACCTACTGTTGGGCAGGGACCTCCTTTTCCTTCTGTTTCCTGTTCCCATTTGAGGGGCATCCACTAGAGAACACATCTCCCTCTCAGCCCAAGGGACAGGGAGCGACGCAGCCAGAGGTTGCCCTCATACATTCCCTGGGCTCTTTCTGTACCTGCCTCCTGCGGGAAGCTGGACACCTGTCTGCTGCCTCCACCCAGGGAGAGGCTTGCCCTGTGGAGGGGTCTGGGATTGCTCCTTCTGCCTGTGGCTTGCTCAGCACCTTCAGGCTGGAGGTGCCAAACTAACTGCCGCTTATGAAGCCATGCTGTCTTATCCAGCTCCACTTAAAATAGAGCTAACATTTTCATCCCCATCTGGTTCCTGTGGCTCTCTCTGTCTCCACTTCTCTAACCTGTTCTGAATTTCAGAGGAAAAGAAGGGGGCTTATCTATTGTAAATCCATAAACCTATCTCCTATGGCACTTAACTGCATTCCCACCACAGCCCGGTGAGGTAGCTATTACTGCCGTCTCCATTTAACAGACGTGAAACAGAGGCTCAGCCAGGTAAGGGTGACCCAGCTGTGAGTGGCAGAGCTGGGATCGAACCCAGGTCATCTCAAACATTTCTACTTGCCTCTGCTGCCTCTGGGTGAGAAGGAATCTGCTTTCCTTCCAGAGATGCTAGGGGGAGGGTGCCAAGTCCTATGGAGCAGGGCAAGTGGAATCATCCGAGAGGTAAGAGGGAACAGGGGCGCTGGGGACAGATCACTGCCTGCAGTTGCCAAGCAAAGCAAGACCCTCTCCACCAGGGGCGGGCTGTGTGCTTCCCGGCAATGTATGGAAGCCTGCTCCCTCTCAGCAGAGCTGCTTGATCCACAGCTCCAGCAAATGCCAGCTCCCATTCTCATCAGACCTTACTTCAGCTTGGCAATGGAGGCGGAGGAATGAGCTGACGCTCCCACCTCTCTCAGTGGGACCAGCTGCACCCCGACTACAGCTGTGCACCTTATGCTTCACGAAACAGGACTCGTGGGTTTCTCACTGGCCTTGAAGGACTAGCAGGGCTTGAAGCTCAGGCTCCTGGTAGCTGAATCCTCAAGGCAGGACAACTGACCATGCTAACGTCCCCTCTCTATCAGCTCATATTCACTGGAGGGACGGGAGTCTGTGGGCTGGACAGTCTATGGTGGTGAGAACGTGCATACACATCTCCACCACCCCAGCCTTGCTTTATATCCTTACAGCACATGTGGGCATGAAACTGGGCAGCGTATCTAGATGCCTGACAGCCAGTCCATGCTCAGCAAAGGGCTGCTTCCTTCTGACCTCCACTCTCTTTCTTTAAAAAATCCAGAAGAATTTGGAGTAAGGACTCAAATTTTAAGAGTGGCCAGAAAATGTTTACTTTTTAAAGGTTTTCTAAGTGTCGGATCACCCAGTCTCGCTTCTCATCTTATAGATAAAAACATAACCTCACACTGATGCAGCCGTTAGCCCAATGATAATACCTGTCTGGCCTGGTCTCCTTTGAAGTCTGACATGAGTGACTGAGGCTCAGAGGGGTGAAGTGTTTCACCCAAGGCTACACAGCCGAGAAGTCGGAGGATGTGGGCTAGAACCATAGTCTCCCCAGTGGTCTCAGGGTGGGGCTCCTTCAACAAAGTAACAGCTGAGATTATGGAGCACCACCTATGTGACTGACCCAGTGCTGGACTTTAAATGCCTCCTTTCATCTATCTTCACCGCCACTTTACAGTTGGGGAAACTGAGGCACGGGGCAGGCCAAGGTCCCATAACTCAAAAGTTCACTGTTGCACATTGCATGCAGACAGATGACCCCAAGGCTGGCTCTTAGCTTTGGCTGACAGTTTAGGGTGCCCCTATGGAGGGTCTCTTCTCAGCTTTCTCCCTGTTCATCAGGACATAGAGAACCGCTGCAGTGAGATGGTCTCCACTATTATGATTACAGAACATTTTACATTCTTCCAATTTGATTTAGGAAGTGATTTCAGGAGAATCTTTTAAAAATAAAAGCTATTAAGAACTGCTTCTGAAATTGTAATTTGGGATTTTGTACAAAACTTGATTTGAGCTCCAGAACTCCTAATAATGGTTCAGCAAATCAGATGGACCTTCATATGGTTCTAGGCCAAAAGAGGAGGAAAGTGCCACGGTTTTCTGTACACACATCTAAGGCTTTCGTGTCTCCTTCCCCGCGTCCCTCCCAGTCACCTCCCTTCCTTCCCCTCCACTCAACTGTTTACAGAGAGCGTAAGAAATCTGGGAGTCTCTTAGGCACTAAGGTGACAGCAGACCACACAAGTCCTAGCCTGCCCTGGAAGACCTTTTAGTCAAGCGAGGAAGGGAGGAGTACACGTAATTTCCCAAGGAAGTGGTCAGAGAAACACACCAGGAGCCCTGTCCTGCGCGAGCATCCCACCGAGTGCAAAAACCCAGGCAGCAGCTCACCGCCAGTGCGCACCCGGAAGCAACGTCGCCAGGCCCGTATGGCTCACTCTCAGCCGGCAGTCTGCTCCTCTTCGCTCTTATTTTACATCTATTTCTAACACACTTGGGTGTCTCGTTTCCCAACCACGACTGCATATGAGGAAGCAGCAGATTTCGAAACTGCATGGCACAGAGAGAGGAGAAAACAAGGCTAGAAAGTCATGCTGATGACAGTGAGGTTGGGAGGAGACTCATGCCAGCTGAGCAGGCACTACCTGTGAGATATTTTACACAATTCCAGATTCCTCACAGCAGCTGTGCAAACTGAGTATTATCATCCCCATTTTTCGTGATGGGAGACTGAGGCCCAGGGAAGTGACTATGATTCACAACTGTGTTTAAGAAAAAAGAAACCCCAAGGAAGGACGAGTCATCACAGGTAGATAAGAGAACCACCATGACCTTGAGCATTCTGGAAGATTCAGGAAGGTTCAAGAAAATGAAGGCTTCCCTGCACTAGGCTTGACAATTGGTATTGATCCAGTTTTCAGCCCAAGAACTCCCCTTTTCTTCCCCAGACACTCAGGTGCCCAGCACATGGCATGGGCTGCTCTGGTGCTGGAGACTCAGGGTTGATAAGATGCAGCCTCCATCTTCGAGGATGGAGACTCACTAATAGCTCTATCCAGGTGAGGGGAGCACAGTGGAGAGGCAGGAACTGCTGTGGCCACCCCAGCAATGGGGACAGGGGGATGGCCCTGAAGCCAGCAGCCTCCTTCACACTGGCAACAGACTGACACTCACACTAAACCTGGTTTTCATGCCAAGGACAAACTGCTCCAAAGGAAGGCAGCTGCCTAAAATAAGTCATTTGAAGCAACAGGTCTAATTTTAGAGAAGTTTATTATGTGAGGCAGTAAAAAAAAAAAAAAAAATCCAACACCAAAAAGGAATTTAGAAATAAATAAATAAATGTTGTTCAATCCAACTTTTGAGCGATTTTTTTTTTTTTTTTTTTTTTTTTTTGAGATGGAGTTTCTCTTTTGCCACCCAGGCTGGCGTGTAGCGGCTCAATCTCAGCTCACTGCAGCCTCTGCCTCCCAAGTTCTAGTGAGTCTCCTGCCTCAGCTTCCTGAGTAGCTGGGGTTACAGGTGCACACCACAACGCCTGGCTAATTTTTATATTTTCAGTAAAGATGGGGTTTCACCATGTTGGCCAGGCTGCTCTCAAACTCCTAACCTCAAATAATCCACCTGCCTCGGCCTCCCAAAATGCTGGGATTACAGGTATGAGTCACTGCACCCAGCCAACTTTTGAGTGCCTTCTAAAGTACGTGAAAACCATTCATCAACTCTTTAGCATAAATATACTGAGCCGTCTGTGATGCTTGCTTGATATAAAGGTTCTCAGCTGGGGGAAATTTTGCTCCTATTGGAGCAAAGACTCCATACCAAAGGGGGCAGTTTTGCTCCCATGCTGACTACCAAACGTCCAGGGCCATTTTTGGTGGTCACAGCTGGTGGGGCAGATGGTGCTACTGGTACCTGATGGAAGGAGGCCAGGGAGGCTGCTGAATAGCCTAGGACACAGCACAGCCCCTATGACAATGAACTTTCCAGCTCACAATGGAGATAGTTATGAGGCTGAGAAATGCAAGTTTGGTACAAAGTGCCTGGGCGGGCAGTCCCAGGAGTGCAGCTGGCACCAGCAGGTGTGACTTTGTCTGTGCAGGTACTGCCCCTGCGCCTTGGGCAAGGCCTGACCCTCTGAGAGCCACAAGTGCTTCATCTAGAAAATGGGCATGATACCACCTACCCTGTGGGCCTGTTTGGAGCTGGAATAAGATGACAAACACAGAGATGCCTGGCAGTATTTACCGATGTCTCAAGTGACAGATCATGTCCCCAGATAATGTCTGGGAAACTGAAGACAACAAAGCAAGTCTTCCAAGGCAGCTAAAGTTTTGGGTCCATGTGAGTTCTCTTTGTCCCATGAATTTGGATGACAAGGCAGCAGGTGCAGAGGAAAGCTGGACCACAGCACGGCTATGATGCTGGCATTCACCAGCAAACAGCATGGGTCCCTCTGTATGTAACACGGAAGAAGACTTGTCCCATTGGCTGCCGAGGGATGGCGTGGGGACACAGGCTGAGTGACATGCATGAGCTTGGGGCCAGAGAGCTGGGGCTCAAATCCTTTTTCTTTTCTTTTCTCCTTCTTTTTTTAATATCGAGTCTTGCTCTGTAGCCCAGGCTGGAGTGCAGTGGCGTGATCTCAGCTCACTGCAACCTCTGCCTCCCAGGTTCAAGTGATTCTCCTGCCTCAGCCTCCCGAGTAGCTGGGATTACAGGAGCACGTCACCATGCCCCGCTAAATTTTTGTATTTTTATTTGTATTTTTTAGTAGAGACAGGGTTTCACCATTTAGGCCAGGCTAGTCTCGAACTCCTGACCTTGTCAGCTGCCCACCTCAGCCTCCCAAAGTGTTAGGATTATAGGCGTGAGCCACCGCGCCCAGCCTAAAATCCTTTTTCTACTATTCCTCGCTGTTTGACCTTGGAAAAGTGTCTCAATGTCTCTGTGCCTAACAGTGGGGCCTAACTCACAGGGCGGCCATGGGGACAGCTTTTGGTCCACACTGAGTGCTACATGCACGCACACTTAATTAGGTTTGCAGCCAAGCGGGTGGAGGCCAAGCGAGGGGGAACGGCTGGCCTGGTTTCTCACTGCAGGTTTGTGTCCCACTGAGATGGGAAGTCAGGCCTTGGACTTTTGGTCCAGAACTCTGCTCCAGGTCAGGCAAAGCACCCTCAGCTGGAAATATCATTCCCGACTTAAAGACTGAAGATCAGCGGAGCAGTCTGAGGCTGGGGCCTGACGACTGCTGGCTTTGGGAGCCACTGAGATTTTTTTTCATCATGTGCTTGGGGAGTGGACCTTGCAAATACCCCCTAGTGGAGTCTATGAAGTTTACGGGGGATGCAAACGGAAAAAGTATGTCCCTGTGGGAAGTGAATTCTGTTGAGCACTGTCATGGTTCCCAGTGTAAATGCCTCATTCACTACAGGCTCTGCATTCAGTCTTTAAGGCTTCAGGCATCAGGTTTAAGAAACGAAGCACTTCCCCTCTCTACTCTCCAGGAACAAGGAGCACCTCCTTAAGATTGTCTGGCACGACCTTGGTCTCATCAACAGGAAGAGACAGCAGGACTCTCCCAGGGCCACTTGGTTAATGGAAATAGAGCCACTGACCCAGGCGCCTGCTCAGCCTGCTGACTTCAACCAGACCAAGGAGAAATGTAAAAGCAAGAAGCAAGGTGATCTCATTTCATCCCAGCGTTTCCGAAAATAGGAGGTGGAACGTTGTGGTTGTAGCTTTCTATGCTGCTGTTTTTCCTTCTCTGGACGGGAATGACTCCCCTTCACCTCACCTTCCCTAGACACCCCCAAACACTCTCCCTGCCCACCTTTGGGGTGCTGGGCTCATGCTCATTTAGTATAAATGCAAGCTGTCCTACCTGGGGCTCTTCGGAAGGGCACTGGCAGCTGCCCCGTCTCCCTCCCTCTGGGTTCAGCCAGTCTCCTCCCAAGGGAATGAGTGACTTCAGGGGCAGTTTGGATGCATTATGCAAGAATCTCCTCTATACTCCCTGCCAAGTGCTCGGCTAGCCTGTTTGCACACCTCCATAGATGGGGAGCTCACCACCCCTGGAGGCAACCCACTCCATCTGTCAGCAGCTAACAGTAAAGATCCAGACTCTGCCTCCCTAAGTCTCCAACCAGAAATTCCACCTTCGCGTACCCTGAAGAGGGAGGAGACTGTGGTGAACATCCAAGCGTCTGGGGAACCTCATGGAGAGACCGCCTCTGACTTCCCTGCCTGTAGCAGCTCAGGCCCCAAAGCGTTTCTTACTTAAAGCCTTGAGGTTTCTTTCAAGCCAAAGTTGTGAGTTGAAGACAGCCCAGCCAAGAGTACTTTTATTTAAATCATCTCAATGTCTCTCACTTCTGACTTGCTAATATCCATTTTTTTAAGAAATAGGATTTTTAGACACATCTAGGGATAAATAATCAGTGACAGCATTTATTATGGGCACTCTCTGTGGCTAGCGGCTGAACTGAACACTTTGCATCAATTGTGTCTTTCCATACTATGCTATCCATTTTACAGATGAGGAAACTGAGGATCAAGCAAGTGACATGAATGTCCAACAGCACAGAGTTTGAGGTGATGACAGAGCTGAGATTTGAACCTGGGCATCCAGGGCCCAAGCCCTAAACCTCCCTACTGGTCCCTCCAGTCATGCAGGAATGCCCACCAGGCCCCAGGACTCACCGCATTGAGGCCACAGAGCTGGTAGCAGGCCATGGTGACGATCACGGTGACCACCTGATAGCGGACATAGGGAGCTCTCAGCAGCTCCAGCACAGACACCAAGCGGATGTTCCTCTGCACGCGGCTGTCAGCCAGGACCTCCTCTACCTCTCGGGAAACGTCTGCTTTACCCAAGAACGTCTGGAAGGCTGCAAACAGGGGCATACATGGGTTTTCAGCAGGGATTAGAGTGTTCATCATGTCTCATGCTGGGCCCTGCAGGGATAGGTCCCACCTCCCAGCCACATCCCTTAGCAGGGGATGGAACTTGGCAGGGGCCTTTGAACTATGGAGTCCAAAGCCCTTGTTTAAAAATGGGAAAACAGAGGCCCAGAGAGATGCCAATGACTTGCCCAACATCACCCAGCTGGTTGGGAGAAAAGCTGGGAGAGAATGTGAGTCTCCTGACTGCCTCCAACACAAAGCAGAGCACATCCACGATTCAAATCCGTCTATACCACTGGGCGGTTGTGCCCCTGTTCATCTTTTGTTATCATTCCTGCCTCCAATGGCTATTGTAATAGTTGCATGATATCATTTACATGAAACCATGGCTCGGAGCTTCCCACACTGGGACTCATTTGCTGAGTACTCGTTAAGCACCTCCTGTTTGCCTGGCCCATGAGTTCATCCTCATCGCAGGTGTCCTGAGAGCAGTGGCATGTCACTTGGCCAGGATGCCCTGCAGTCCACTCCATCATGAAAAGAAGCACGGCCCTTTCCATGTGACCCTCAGAAATACAAGAAAACTTGAGTGGAATTAGTTCCAAAGAATGAATCTTCCCAGTATTCAAACCCATTCTGGTGATTTATACCTTTCTCATGTTGAACACCGCTAACTAACTGCCCCCTTCAGAAAACCTGTCTTTTTTTTTTTTTAAATGAAGACCTTAATTGTGCAAACCTCCAAGAATGCATGCCTGAAGGCGAGCTGACTGATTAGACCCCGGAAACCTTAATCGTCAGATCATGGGGCGTGCTTTTAGAACACAGACTTAAATATTCATTGCTCTGATATTTATTCCTCCTACAGGGAAAGGTGGCTATTGTGATGGTTCCTGTGGACAGTCGTTCCAGACACAGCAGGCAGCATCCTTAAAGTATGGCTTGGCCGGGTGCGGTGGTTTATACTCCCAGCACTTTGGGAGGCTGAGGCAGGTGGATCACCTGAGGTCAGGAGTTCAGGACCAGCCTGGCCAACATGGTGAAACCCCATCTCTACTGAAAATACAAAAAATTAGCCAGGTATCTGTAATCCCAGCTACTCGGGAGGCTGAGGCAGGAGAACCACTTAAACCTAGGAGGTGGAGGTTGCAGTGAGCCGAGATCATGCCACTGCACTCCA